AGGTTTAAACTCGAAAAGTTTGATAAACAAATAAGTTTTACGATCTGTTGTTTAAGTTTCATCAATTTTCCTTTATCAACGTATCTTAACCTGATTTACTCTCACTAACAAACCTTTCTTAATTTCATTCTAGAAAAACATCCCAGGTTTCAATATGTTTAGTTACTCTATCCTGTGGATGGTTAGTTATACTTTACAATATATTCAGTAACTCTATCCTGTGGATGGTTAGTTATACTTTACAATATATTCAGTAACTCTATCCTGTGGATGGTTAGTTATACTTTACAATATATTCAGTAACTCTATCCTGTGGATGGTTATTTATACTTTACAATGTATTCAGTAACTCTATTCTATGGATGGTTATCTATACTTTTCAATGTATTCAGTAACTCTATCCTATGGATGGTTAGTTATATTTTACAATGTATTCAGTAACTCTATCCTATGGATGGTTAGTTATATTTTACAATGTATTTAGTATCTCTATCCTATGGATGGTTAGTTATATTTTACAATGTATTTAGTATCTCTATCCTATGGATGGTTAGTTATATTTTACAATGTATTTAGTATCTCTATCCTATGGATGGTTAGTTATATTTTACAATGTATTCAGTAACTCTATCCTATGGATGGTTAGTTATATTTTACAATGTATTTAGTATCTCTATCCTATGGATGGTTAGTTATATTTTACAATGTATTTAGTATCTCTATTCAATGGATGGTTAGTTATATTTTACAATGTATTTAGTATCTCTATTTTATGGATGGTTAGTTATATGTTCTAGGTCTCATGCTGCTGACCTTGGAACTATTTCTTTAATCGTCAGTTGTGTTCACACTGATGGCCATGGTGACATACTGTTGCAGATACCGCATCTGTCATTCTATAAAACTTCTGCTAAAGACGGAGAGGTGATTCTTAAGTCACACAGCTTGAGAAACTTTCCACAGATTCTTCTTAGTATAAGGATGTTCAGAGGAGTCCATGAGTGTGCAGTTAGGTGATTCACGGGTGTGTGTCGAAAAAGAGGATAGAATTAATATTGGTTTCATTCTTCATACTTCATAGAAGTGATGTTGTGGACTTACACGTGGGACTTGATGCTTTATCCTGTAATTTATCGTTTTCCTGACTCTACGTGCGGGATATTTATTTTGCATAATTGGTGTCAATGGATTATCATGGTAATAACTATAGAGTTCACCTTTACTTTGCTTCACCCTTTGTTTTTTAAGCTTAAATATCCAACTATGTGTGAAATCTGCAGCAGTTATAAAGTCTGTCTGTCCTTAAATTCTCTGAGACGTGTTAAAAAATCTTATCGCCTCATAATTAGTAGCAAATCTTTTTCTTGTTGCTTTTGCCCAAGCACACTTAGGCTTCGTCTTACGTTGTAAAAAAAACAAAAACTTTCGTTTCTTACTTGTAATGTAAGTTTCGTAAATTCTTCTTTAGTCTGTCTTTCTGTCTGTATTTATATTTGTAATTTGCATTTATGGCAAAGCTACTATCGTCCCTGTTTTTCGACAACCGATCAGAGGGAAGGCAGGCAGTCAGCTGCACCCTACCATCCACCATCTACAATAATGGATTGACTGTCACTCTTATAACATACTTTCAGCTTAAAGTGTGGAGAATATTTTCGTGGTATCGTAAGGATTCAAACCAGACTCGCAAGCTCCGAAATCAAGAGCTCTACATCAGGGCCAAACCCGTGTTCGCCTTTCTGTCACCAGTGTGTCTGGGGATCAACTCGTAGTTGTGTTCCCTTATAATAACAAGATATTAGTAAATTATATGATATTACTGCGTACAGTTTATTGGGATGTGTAGCTTGTTAGGAATCACTTTGTGGGGCCACTCTACCAACTGTGGCAGCAGTATCGTATTATAGGATGTGGTAGCTTGCTCTTTAGGGGGTTTTGCACCCTCGTATAGATGTGATAATCTTTTTTTTTTTACCAATGTGATTCATTATGTTAAGTATTGTCGTCTTTGATGATTGTATGGTTTGGATTTTGCTATTTTGGTATACAAATGTTCTTACTCGCAAAGGGCTACGACATTATCCTTCGTCCATAATTCAATTCTTGGCATCACTGCATTGTTGACTGGTCGGAAATTCGCTAAATATAAAGGTGTTAAAAATGTTGCCTGTGACGCCACAGCTTGCATCTACAGCGCCAATGTCACAGTATATCCTTATTATAAAATACGAGTATCCCTATGTAATTACATTTGTCTGAGTTGCACGTGACAAACTTTTGCTCATGTGTTTGCTGGGCATGTCTGATAAACAAAAATTCATCATTCTGTTCCATTTTAGAGACAGTGTTTAAGACAGAATAACAAGCAGCCTAGGCGTATTTTGACCTATTTTATTACAGAGTGTAACTACTCAATATATGTTACAATTAAATCATGTTTTGTCTTTTAACTCTTTTGTTTGTTGAGGGGAGAAAAACAAAGAGAAAATTAACTAATATTTAAATGAGTTATTGTACAAGACCGATTGTTGTGGTTTGGCTGCGAAGGTAGATCTCTAATTTGTAATATTCTGACTTTTGCATTATATATTTCTTTTTCTTATCACTTTTTATCATTAAGATAAATAAATCTCTACATGTCAACAGCAATTAGCTTCTTTGTAAAAGAATACAACAATTGTTTTAATGTTTTGTATTGAACTGACCGTGGTAGATATATTCCAAACATATGGGATCTTAGGTTAAAGATTTTGAAATGTCTAGTACCATGTTTGGACCGTGCGCTGCCCAATGGTTAGAATGCTGGATTGTGGATCCGAAGTTCCTTGGTTCGTGTCCCGTTACCGCCGAAAACGAAATCACGCTCCACACTCTGGGGACGTGAGTGCGCTATAAGAGTAACGGTCAAATCCCACTGTTCGATTAGAGTAGCTCATTAGTATTCCACCTTCTGGGTTATCACTTCAGGATTGGGGACGGCTATCGCAGACAGCTTTGAGTAGCTCTGCGCGAAACTGAACAACAAACAAATAGTACGATGCTCAACATAGTACGTATATTTGGAGAAAACGAGGTTTGGGTTCTAGAGTTAAATGTTTAACAGTTAAAAATAAATATCATATCATGGTTAACATATTATCACTAGAATGTATTCACGCAACGATTAAACCAAAGGATCTCCTCCCTTTGTTTGTGGAGTCGCGTCGCAGCACGTTTATCTGTGCGCAGTCCAAGTAGCGTGACAAAAATGGCAAAACTATCTGAAACTGCCAACACTCCCATTATACTTATAACTTATGTTTAAGAAATCGGGTCGTGCAATGGGTTAGTAGTTAGTTTACCGGGCTACTGAACGGAAGGTCTGAAGTTCAAGCCTACTATATGAATCTGAAAAAAAATCCTCATCCGTGGACATGTTATAAAAGTGAGTGTCAATCCCGCTATTCGATTGATATTAGCCATGTAGGCGGTGGGTGCTGGTGACTATTTGTTCTACTAAGTTATAAGTTAGGTACAGTTCTCCTGATCCTTGCGAGTACAGCTCTGACCTGGTCATTTAGCCCATTTGAAACATAAGATGCCATTATTATGAAATTCATATAAAACTTTCAGATTTAACTTACAATGATATTCAGCCCCCAGTAGCACAGCGGTATGTCTGCGG